GTGTTTCAATTACATTAGATAAGACGGAGGCAATGCTCATCGCCAATGGTTTCTAAATAATCCTCACCCTTTCGATAGAAATTATACGCTCGCTTCAGTTGGTTGAAAAGAAATCCCTAGACGAAAAGTTTTCCTCCCTTGCGATGGAGAGATCCGACTGTTCGTCTGCTAAAAGGGGTGGCGACCTAGGATATTTCCGGATCAGCCAGATGCAAAGTAGAACTTATCTCCTTAATTCATAGAGCCATTTGAGGACGTTTCGTAAGCTTTTTTGGATGATGCATAGATTTTCGCTTGCCCGTGGCGAACTGTCTGGACCAGTCGAAACAGATTCCGGAGTTCATGTGATTCTAAGACTCGATTAAACTTTAGCTTTAAAAAGATTGAAAATTGCATACATGCCAATTTAAACATTTAATTTAATTTTACTCAAATGGGTTCATGCTGCATGTCCAACAACAAATGCGTAAGTCTATTTTATTCATCCATCATCATTTACTTGATAGACTCTTTATTCTTATTCATGTTGTTCTTCCACAAATAAGATTATCATTACCGCCAAATATGCAGGCATTCCAGTTACCTCAGATGCCTCCTTTGTCTATGGAGAAACCAATATGACGTCCACCTTTAAGAGCAAGTTTCCCTTTGGAAAGGTTCCGGCCATGGATGCTCCAGAAGGTCCCATTTATCAATCAACCGCAATTTGCACATATCTTGCTGAGTCAAGTACTGAAAAGGAGCGCCTTCTTGGTTCAACTCCTTACGAAAAGGCGCTTATTGCTCAGTATATGAGCTTGGCCGATAATGAATTTATGCCGCCTGTTCGTTCTTGGACTCTTCCTTTGTGTGGTTTTATGCCATATTCTGAGGAATTGGTTACAAAGGCACGTTCCGATTCGCTTTCCCTTCTTACCACGTTGGACAGTATCCTTTTGTCAAAAACCTTTCTTGTGGGAGAGCAGATTACTCTCGCAGACATTTGCCTGTCAACTAACCTTTACGTGGCATTTTTGTATGTCATTGGTCCAGAGCTTCGCAAAAAGCTCCCAAATCTCACTCGCTGGTACTTGACTTGCTTTGCGCAGCCAGAGTTTCAATGTTCCGACAAGGCTCTATATACTGAAGATGACCTTCTTTGTAAAGAACCTCTTACGACACCAAAGCCCTGCATTTCAACGAAAAGCGAATGCTCAAAAGCTAACAAATCCTGTTCAGCAGCTAAATGCCCTGAGGCCAACAAATCCTGTTCAACAAAGGCGTGCCCAAAGCCTGCTGCTGTGAACCACGATGAAGAAGACGAAGAAGAAGCTGTGAAAGAAAAGCCCGTAAAAAATGCACTCGATGAACTCCCCCCTTCTTCGTTTGTCCTTGATGCCTGGAAGCGCTTTTATTCCAATAACGAGACCACACCCACAGCGATCGATTATTTCTGGAACAACTGGGATCCTAAGGGCTACTCCATGTACCGCTTAACGTATAAAGACAATGCCGAGCTGACAAAAATTTTCATGTCCTCGAATCTGATTGGTGGATTCTTTCAGCGCTTGGAGCACATGCGCAAGTATGCATTCGGCTCGATGTGTGTCTTTGGCGAAGAAAATAATAGCGAAATTTCGGGCATGTTTATCATTCGCGGCGGTCCAGAACTTCCAGAAATGTTCAAGGAAGTTCCAGACTTTGACTCGTATGTAGTGGAGCATGTTGATTCAAGCGATCCCGCTATTAGAGACGAATGGAATGCATATCTAGCATGGGAGGGAAACTTTAAGAAGCCCTTTGCTAATGGCAAGATCTTCAAGTGAAATCAATTCAAGTATTTTATGCATTAAACGTTCGCAGTGAATAGCTTCTTTGGGTTGAAGAGCATGCTTAACAATAGCAGTTTAGGGTTTATTTTAATTACCACCCACCTTGGACCCTGTTTTGGTCCAGTTTATCCCGTACCGGGCGTGTGGGCTCTGGGCTAGTGTCCCCTCCACGGGTAGCCTTTTAGCTGGGGATATGCAGGCATATCGAATTGTCTGGAAAACGGGTTTTCAAAGGCAATCTCAAAAAACAGCGGGCCACAGACAATTATACCGCCCTTGACCATAGAGTGATTTATAGCAGCTAAAATTTTGTCCCAGGCAGTTGGATTTGTGTAGGGGAATACGAAGGGCAAAATCAGCGTTGAAGATAGAGAATCGAGAACAACGGGCAGCATGGCGCAGTAAATTTCAGTTCCCGAAATTTCCTGATCAACCTGCACAAGGAAAAGCTAGTAAAGTGGACAGCTTCGTCAGGAAAATGAGGGCCACTTCGATGATGTGTGTACTGAAGAAAAAAGTGGCATCAAGATTATTGAGGCAGACCATGGCGAAACAACGAGATCAATCAACGGTGCAGAAAACCATGAAAAAAATGTGAGAACAGTCAACATCGGAATCTCCAATTTGAGCTCTAGAGGGATGGCGTTGTAAATTAAGTGTTTAGATCGGCATATGTTATCCAAACCATACATGGATACCAGACTCGCAAGATAAAGGCTAAAAACAACACCGACACACGTAATATTTTCAATATGATCTCAATTGTGGCTGTGAAGAGCGAGAACTTTGAAAGAACCAAAATATTGGGAGTAAGGACAAGTGGCCAGAATGAAATCGGCCAAGTGGTTCTGTGTGAGAGCACGCAGAGAAGCAGTAGTAAAATATGAAAAATCAAGGAAGATAAAACCTCCTCGAAGGGAAGAAACAAAACTGGGCAATCGTCACGAGTAAAATGAATGTTCCAGCAGTCATTAAAATCAGGAGACTAGTAAGTACATCTAAAAGTGAACTACCAAGGGAGGAAAGAGCCACATCTGGTAACATAAATTAGAATCCAAGTAAAAAGGCATCTGTGCCATCCTAGACAGGCTCTTCTGCGATTCGTGTCAGACGGGTAATTATATCGGTGACTAGGATTGAAGCGGTGTTTTTGCAAATATATTTCAGAAGCCCATGTAGATTTTGAAATCTTGAACTTCAATTCAGATTGGGATTTTGGCCTTCAAGAGCTACGTTTAACAAAAAAAGACATACTAGTGAAATTCTTCCTCGCCTGCTCTAGAGGCAGGCAATATAAGAAGACGATCAGAGGGAAAGCTTTTCATTGCCTGAAAATCCAAAATATTTCATAGCTTATGAATGTATACTTGAGTTGAGTGGAGTTTCCCACCCCATTTGTATATCAGAGGAATTATCTGAAAAAAATGTGCGTTTATGAGAACTCAAAATGCCCGATAAAGCAATAATAGCAAGATTATCCATTGTTCCTGGTTACTTACGCTCCATTATTGTGTTTATCGACAGTAAATCCGGTGGAAGAGTAAAGATTTTGAAGGGGCAAAGCAAAAAATTAGCAGCAAAAGGTGGCATCGCTTTTTAGCCAATTAGCATCTGTGGTACATTTTCATGTATTTTCTAATGCAAAGGCACAGTCCCCACTCGGTTTAGTATAGGTTTTGCTGAACCCTCAATTAAACTTTGCTAAATTTGAGCTACTCAGACAGAATAGCTGACCAGAATAGAGGTCTAGGCATTCTAAAAGAAAGGAATATAGGGACATGTGAAAGAATTGGAAATAATTCTAGGCATCCGAGTAAATTTTTATTGATGCCACACATAATTTTACGCATCGAAAACGGCTTGCCTCTGATCTAGTGAAATATTGGATTTCCTTAATGTTGCTGCAGAAATCGAGATTATGAACAGATTGTTCTTAAGGATAGACTTGGCATTTCGACGGCTATATTCAGCCTCAACTGTAAAACGGACTATTTTCAAGCAACAAGGATACGCACGCCCCTTCATCCCAGAACACTTTTGACAGCTTAGGCGTAGATAGTATTTTTGATGCAACGGTTTACATTTAGGAGGTACTTTAAAGCCAAAAAACCCTGCTACTTCTATGCCAAGTACAGGTAAATCTATAGTTTGAACTTTTTTAATTAAGGGTTAAAATAACACTAGCATAGCTGATGTCTTCTGCTGCTAAACAGTAGACCCCGGCCAATTGTGTTTATCCTTGATTGGCCTACGCCTTTTTTAAAAAAACTTAAATATATGCAACTAATTGAAAAATGAAATGCCAAAGTAGAACACGTTGTTAATTAAAGCTCCCAAATTTAATAAGCCATTTCAGTGGTGCTTAGCACTATATTTTGATTCGATGCAAAATTTTCAGTGCAAAATAAGCTATAAAAACGCATCAAATTTTTCACAAAGCCTCTTGTCTCAATGAACATCCAAAAATGTCTACTTCTCCTAACCCTTGTTTCAATTCTCGTTACCCACTCATTACAAAAACCTCAACAAAAAACTTCTATAAAAAAAACTAACCTAAAAACGTTCGATGTGAAGAAATTTCTAAAGCATATAAAAGGAACAAAAACCGAATGTGAAGATATAAAAGAAAAAATCAAAGATTTTGAGGAAAAAATTAACATAATGAAAAAAAAGATGAATAATAAAGACAGCTCCTCTCAAACTGGGTTGTCTAACGATATTGAAATTCTCGAAAAATACGTAAACTCCCTTAAGACCAGATTGGCCAAACTCGAACTAAACAATTCTAACTCTAACGGAAAATTTTTTAACCCCGACACGGAACAAAATTCTGGAAATTCTGGAAATTCTGGAGATTCTGGAGATCCTGGAAATCCTAGAAATTCTGGAAATTCTGGAAATCCTGGAAATTCTGGAAATCCTAGAAATTCTGGAGATTCTGGAGATTCTGGAGATTCTGGAGATTCTGGAGATTCTGGAGATTCTGGCAATCCTAGAAAGCCTCGAAATCCTAGAAATTCTGGAAATCCTGGAGATTCTAGAAATCCTGGAGATTCTGGAGATTCTGGAGATTCTGGAGATTCTGGAGATTCTGGAAATCCTGGAGATTCTGGCAATCCTAGAAAGCCTCGAAATCCTAGAAATTCTGGAAATTCTGGAAATCCTGGAGATTCTGGAGATTCTGGAAATTCTAGAAATCCTGGAGATTCTGGAGATTCTAGAAATCCTGGAGATTCTGGAGATTCTGGAAATCCTGGAGATTCTGGAAATCCTGGCAATCCTAGAAAGCCTCGAAATCCTAACCCTAAAATTTCTTCATCAAATCGGAAAAATATCTCTTCTAGTCTTTTTAGTTTGATTTGCAACATTTTGGCTGGAATTCATGTTCACTGCGTCTGCATTCACGTCTACAAACATCTGAAAAACATTGTTCAATGTGCTTTCCAGATTATTACGAATCTGTGCACCAATAAATTTGTGTGGACTCTCATAGTAGTGGGGTTATTCTTTGTCTTCTTTGTGGCTGCCTATGACCCAGTTTTTTATGAAAGGTTCTTAAAGCCTATTTTTGGTGAGAAATTCTTAAAGCCTGATTTTGTTGAGAGGTTCTTAAAGCCTTTTTTTGATGAGAGGTTTTTAAAGCCTGTTTTTGATCTTCTCGCTAACCTTTTTCATTGGGCTATGGATGTCTGTAAAATCCTTGATGCTGTTGTTTTTTGTTTATGTTTTTGTTTTCTGCTCTCCAATTTTAAAAGCTCAAACTCCGGTGTTTCTGTAGTTGTACCAAATACATTCAAAAATGTCAAGACAAACTTCGAAATTGTTACAAAAAATACGATTAAATTTTTTATATTTCGCATGGTTTTAATCGTCATTTTTGTTCTCTTTTCATCAAAATCTGGAATAGAGGATCTGTTAGTTTCGAGAACTCGAGAAATTTTAAAAGGTGAACGAATTCTACAAGGTCTACAAGCTATAGCAGCTTTAAAGGCTCTAGAAGCTCAAAAAAATCCATATGCTCAACAAGTTTTACAAATTTTGAATTTTATAGTTGCTAAAGGAGGTACTGCACCAGATATAGTAGTGGGTTTAAACCCTCTGATATTAAGACTCCTTTTAGAAGATGAAAGCGATCCAAAAGCTACACAAGCTGTAATAAAAACATCTGATTTCCTAAATCCACTATTTGAACAAGCTCTAGAAACTGGAAAAATTTCAAAAGATCAAATAGCTAAAATGAAAGAAACAATTCAGGTATTCAAAAAATATGTCGAAATTCATGAAGAAAAAAAATCTCAGCAAAATCGAGATGCTTCAGACGTTTTAAAAAGCGAAAAAAATCTACAAGTTCTGCTATTTATGCGCCATTCAAAACCTATCAAAGATTTAAAAGTTCTAGAAGCTTAACAAAATCAATATGCTTCAGAAATTTTAAAATTTCTGAAAAAAATGTTTTATCGATCCACTACGGTAGATCGTCCGGATTTAGATGGTTTCATGAATGAACTGGAATTAAAAGGCCAAAGTGACTCAAAAGCTGTAATTGCTCTAATGAAACTCTATGCTTTCGCAATTCCAATATATGAAGAAGTTGCAGAAAATACATCATATCTAAATCTTGAGCTTAATGCCTTGGCGAAAATCGAAAAAATGAAAAACTATCAAAAAATGCATCAAGAACTCCAAAAAATCAATCCAGAAATCACTCAAGAAATCAATCAAGAACTCCAAAAAATCAATCAAAAAATCAAAGAAATCAATCCAAAATTCAAAAAACTCCATCAAAAAATCATAGAACTCGAAGAAATCAATCCAGAAATCAATCAAGAATTCCAAAAACTCCATCAAAAAATCAAAGAACTCGAAGAAATCAATCAAGAACTCCAAAAAATCAATCAAAAAATCAAAGAAATCAATCCAAAATTCAAAAAACTCCATCAAAAAATCAAAGAA